AGTCACTGAATACTGTTTTATAAGAACTCTGGTATTATGCAGAGTAATGCAGTTTAATATGGCTTTGATGGAAATACAAGTCACATTCTGAAATCGATGGTAAAGACCAATTTGTCTTGATCATCTGTTCATTAGAAATCCATCTAATCCATCAGATAATCTTGTTAGAATATGGAATAGCAGATATTTGCATGACTTCTTTCCTTATTATTTCAAAACAACCCCAATATTGACATACTGAATTTTCCTTCAATTTTTGATAAAATGGTAGGACAAAAATCCAAAGGTCCATTATGGTCATGTTTTTCTCAATGATTTTTATTCAATAAAATGCCTCTCAAGTACAGTTCATTTTTAGTTTTCATTTTTGTTTCTTTTTCTTTTTTTTCAGAAAAGTTATATATTAGCATCACATAATGATGAACCTGCTCTCTCATTGTCTAAATCAATATTGCTCCTCAAAAACGGATTCTGTGTCAGTTTCTTTACTGTTATCTGTGTGTTAACTTCAGAGATAGACATCTTTGTAACAGAGGACTTGTTTCTTTGTAACTCTTTAAATTAGATAGCAAAATCAAACGTCTGCAAAATAATTCATGTTGATTTGATTTGATTTGAATTTTTTTTAAGATAAAAAAAACTTGAGAAATTGAGTATCACAGGAGCTCTTTGTCCTCAAAGACCACCATCACTTCATTCGCAAGGGAGCATTTCAACCCGGAATCTTACTGTAAGAGATTGCTTAAACCCCTGCATTGTTTCTGTATCACAGGCCGCGTTTGTTTCAGTTTTAGGTTTTGTGTATTTTACTCCCCTATGCCTCAACCCTCATGTGTTTGTTCTCTGTCTTAATTTAGTTTTAGTGCTTCTGTTTTATCTTATAAATTAACCATATCTTGTGTTTCATGTCTTGTCTTTGCATCTTTTATAAAACAGGCAGATTCTATAGCTCACCTGCTGTGAGAGAATAGTCTTTGGAGGGGGTTTTGAATTTGCTCCTGTGGTGACTTAACAGGAGTGATTTTGTAGGCAGCAACACAAAATCACTCCCATTCCTTGAGCTGCTCTGCTGCCTCCTACATTATTGTGGTTTACATCAGTATTGCAGAGTCAAGAGGTCAAAGGTCAGAGTCCTTGGTTGGTTGCAGAAACCAACATAAAGGTCTATATTCTGTCCCTACTCAGTAAGACCAAAGAAAATAATGTCTGCATCTAATTTTAATGTCAACACTCTTAATTTTTATCTTAGACTGCTTCAGTAAGGAGAATGAGTAAAAGGTGAGAAAGTGAGAATAACACTAGAAGACATGCTGCTGTAATTGCAGCTGTAATATTTTTAATAGTTTGCTCCTCCTGTCTATTGTGAGGTTAAGGATCAGATGTGTGGAGCACAGTGTGGGTTCTCCTGGCGGACTTGCCAAGTTTGTTTTGGTGTTTGTCTGTGACTGCATGCATCGGCACCAGTCTCCAGGAAGATAATACAAACAAAAACGTTATCTTTCATTGGCATAAGTTTGTTTAGCCTGTTCCCGATTGATGCCTTCCCAAAATTAACATAGGATGACTTTATAGACTGAAACAAATGAAGTTCCAGGATACCAATTGATGTTCAACTGTATTTCTGATGATGTCTGCCCAAACTGATACACAGATTTTCTCCTCTTCATCTCTGGAGCTCTGAATGCAGTGTTCAAGTTGGTGTCTCCCAGGTCTGCTGCTGGTTTGTTGTGTCACTTTGATTGGACGAGTAGCCCCAGGATAACGAGTGGGCGGCTGTCACAGTGTTGGGTTTCTGTTTCAGCCTCTCTGTGACATTTCTCACTAAATCCCAGTTTCCACATCACTAAAAAAACACAATTTAGAAAACTTCACTGTTTTCATCATATTTCTCTGCTCTTAATTCTCCCTCTGTCCATAAATATCATCTCATTTTGGCGAGTGAAATGACGTGCCAAACCAGGTTTGACAGGTTCTTCACTCTGCTGTGATTCCAGCCTGTCTTTTTTTTTCAGCTCACTTAAAAAAAAAACACATTTTTTGGCTTCAGGAGAGAAAGGAGAAAGCACAGGGAGCTAAAGGGTGAATAAAAAACAGACAGAGATGAGGAAGGAAAGGAGGGAAAGAGAGGAGTCTGAGCTGATGTTTGAAAAATCAGTGAGGAGGTTTCCTGATCTGATGGATTCACAGACTGAAAGGACGGATACACAGAGACTGTGGAGGATGACTCTCATCTGTCTAGTTTTGAGTCTGTCTGTGTGTTATCTTTGTTTCTATGATGCTTTTTCATTTCCATAAAATCAAAGATATCACACAGATTTGTGTCAGAACTTTTTCACTAAGTTTCTGCACACAATGCTGAAGCAGCAGCTTTTCAGACTATGAAAGTTAACAAATAAAGGAATTACTCTCCAGTGTTGATTGTTTGAGACATTTCCACTGTCTCCTGGAAAAAAAAAACCTGGAAATACCATTTTCTTTTCAAGGCTCAGATATTTCTCAAAGATATTAAGATGGGCTGAGAGCTGAGCTGGCTCTTGTTTTGTTGTTTTTTATGTCTGTTCGATTAAAACATTAAACCACTAAATTTCAATCAATCATCCTCATTTTTCTTTCTTTTGTTTTTGTGCATTTTAAGACAGTTTTAAGCTCGATGTTGAATATTTCTTATAAGTATGTTGATTTGTAGATCAGCTGCAGTCAGGAAAATGTGCACTTTGATCTTGATTTTTACATTTTTTTTATATAAATGATTGCTGCTCTATTACAGTAATGTGGTAATAAACTGTGAATGAGAGGGAGGAGTCAGCTTCATAGAGTTCATTCTGTCAAACACAAGGTTTATTTTATTATTTATTCTGTGAAAATACTGTTTTTTTTAATCATTTTAAGAAATAAATATTACAGACAATGACTTCATTTCAGCACTTAAGCCTAAATTTATGAACTTATTTTGGTACATCAGGAGAAACATTAAGGGATAAAAATGTTACACAGCAAGAGTCAAGCGAAATGAATGTTTGAAGCCCCCTTTTTTTCTTTGTTAAACTCAGTTTGACATAAAATTGAGTTTTTAAAGTGAAATATGCCATTCATTATTATCCATCAAAGCAGCATCAAGACGCAGGAAGAAGCTGCTGCAGCTAAGCTACAGTGTGCTGGCAGGTACAAAACAGCAGTAATTCTTGCCCTTTATTGCATTGTACTTCACACATTAACACTGACAGCCTCACTATCACTGTAGAGCATGTCTGATTTGTCTGCAGTACAGTCACCATGGGCCTGGTTGCTTCATATAATCTGACTGGATTACAGCTGTTGCATTGTGTGAAATCATGTGACTGAAGATCAAAGGGAGATTCCTTTTGTTTAATTTGGAGGACACCTCCAGTATATGCTTTTAAAACTTTTGAGTGTGGTTGGGATAACTTTGATCTAATACATCAAGATTATCCCGATCCCAGCAGAGGGCTGGATTCAGGCCGGGTTTTATAAACTGTTACAACACAGTTTTAGTTGAGGGATAAATGGAAAGTAACATGGATGCTGGTGTTCTCAGGCAAACAAGTTTTTTTACTGTTTGAAACAAAACACAAAAATGAGCAACAGTTAAACACAAAGAGGGGGCAGAAAGGGTAGAGGGAGGGGCTGCAAGTGATTGCAAATCATCAAACACACAAAACGGAACAGCTTCTTTTCTTTAAACAATGACTAACTTTGAAGAAAAGAAATGACTGAAATAAAACCTTCACTCCCTAACCTAATCTGGCCTAATACAGTTACAGCTGCAGCCTGTAAACCACAATGCACATAACAAAGGAAAATAGCTTAATATGGCACAAAAAGCAGCTAATATAAATTAACTGAATCTATTGCCGATAAAACATAGAGTACCTTGTTTCCTAAGTTAAAAAGATATTAAGGTGTCATATAATTCAGGGCAATCACACACTGACACGATCAGTTTGTCCTGCATTTTAGATACCGGTGAACAACCTTCCGTTTTCATTCGTCATCCGGCAACCTTTGCACTGATTGGTTATCACAACGCAAATATCCGCTGAAGTTGAGACAGTTTCAGCTTCCGCCCAATTCGCATCATTCGCGCCACCAGAGTAGTAGGAGCATCTAATCACATCTTTGCATTGACTTACCATGTAATTCAGTCGCATGAATGATTTTACTTGCGCTTGAAAACCACGGGAACATCAGTTTCTATTTCAGAATCGTAGCACTAAAGGACGTAGGAGTAAAGCCTCTGTGTTACCTCCTTTTTCTGAGTAGTATAACTTGGTATGACACAAACTTTTCACACAGCTGATGAATAACAGCATCAAAGATCAAAGATTGATTGAATAGGAATGAACTGGATCTTATGTTTAGATTCATCAGAAGTTAACTTTGTCATGAGGAAAATTCATCCTGCCAAATCTATGGAGCGGGCTAAAGAATTTTTGTCTCTCCTCTAAAAACCCTCCTCGCCAGAGACGGACTCACTATATCTAAGGAGAGGATTTGGCTTCACGATTTCTCCTTTAAGCTTTTATTGAGACCTTAAACAATACAACATCTAGCAGAAAGATGTTTATTTTGCCTGAAAAGACCATCCATGGCTGTGTGGTGCCAGAGAAAAACTGGAGGGCTCAGAGCCTCGTGATCACCAGATGAAGACTATAAAGAATAAAAAGTGTTTTTTCACTGAGAACAAATGTCACTCTGAGATAAGAGAAGCAATCAAATCTGATTTTAGTCTGAATCATTCCACTTCAAAGATTTCCTCCACCATCACTGTTTTCACCCTAATGCGCTGAGCTTGTGTCTTGATGTGTGTGTGTGTGTGTGTGTGTGTGTGTGTGTGTGTGTGTGTGTGTGTGTGTGTGTGTGTGTGTGTGTGACAGTGTGTGTGTGATGGTGTGTGTGTGAGCTAAGTGTCGCAGAGGACTCAGGAGACTACAGAAACCTTTCAGGGGCCCAGAGTGCTGCTGTTCAAAGGTCTCCATTACCTCTGTCTCTCCTGTTTCCGTCAAATGATGTTTTTCATCTTCCAGCCTTTTCTTATTCGCCCTCTCTCTCCTGGGGTCTCCGTGCCCTTTCCCCTCCCTCTCTCGCCCATCAACAACACCGAGACCAAACGCCAGCCGCCTCAGTCCCCCACAGGCTTGAACTTCAAGCACATCAGGGCTCTGACAGTCTATGGCAGCTTCACAGACAGGAAGTGATTTTGGGAGGATTACTGTGATCTGTCTGTGCAGTAGAACGTCACCACTTTATTCCATCCTCAAAATATCACCTGATATAAGACCTTTGCACGCCTCAGCTCAGGTGAAGGGAGGTAAAAGGAGGACGCCTGTGGAACAACCTGTGGAGTTTCAGCTTTTCTATCGACTGTGACAAACTTTGATTTGCTAACTTTCAACAAATTGCACGTGCTCCTCAGTGAATAAACTGTTGATTTGTTATTTCATCCGTCACTAAATGATCAATGAACGACCATAAATGGAGTGCAGCCCACTGAGGTCAACTGTTTGTAGAAAATCATCTTTAGCATGAAATGATCTTTAAGATATATTTTTTTTAAAGACGACTTAAATATCCTGTTAAAAGGACAGTTTTTAAGCTTTATTTTGGTGGACAACTTGGTTTCACCTTCTGCCAGTATACAGATTTGAAGCTGAAAAGCTCTCGGTATTTCTGGGATTTTTTCCACTTCCTGAAACCACCACTTGCGCTGTAGCATTGTATACATTCAGTGGGAGAGTTGTTAAGAGTTGCTGTTATGACGCTCGGCTCAAACAGCGTATCCCCCGGGTGAGCTATGCAATCTTCATATGCCCATAGGCTGTATCAAGTGTCAATCATAGAAAACATGAACCCCCTAATAACTTAAAAATGGAGCAGTACAGAAAAAAGAGGACTAAAGCACAAACCAGTCTCACTGTAACTACACGTCAACATTGCAACCAGGGGGGAGAAAAATGTATGTTCTGTGTAATTAATTTCAAAAGTTTGTCCACAGCTCCATAGGAATTGCTGGAGGAGGCAGGATTCATGACCTATACTGCAGCCCGTCACCAGAGGGTGCTATTCTTCACCCAGCGAGGAGGCAGATGGCATCCATTCTATATACAGTCTATGGTTTAGATTGAGATGAAGCCACAGCCTCAGTGATGATTCCAGCAGAGAGGGGAAGAGGAAGATGATGCAGCTGCAGGCCTGCGGACAGTTCATGCTGCATCAGTGAAAACCATAACATGAGATTTTACCTTCTTTTTCACATTTCTGTACAATAACATGCATATCTGCAAATAAAAATATCCATACCCAAATCATTGTCTTGGCTTCTCCTAATTCATCTCCAGATATGGGCTCAGTCCTACCAGACTCCTTACCCTCCTGTCCCCGGTTGTGCTCTGACATGTGGTTTGATTCTAAACTAAAAGAGGTTGATTAGATCAAACCAGGGTCTGTTGTCTGTGGACAAAAGTTCACCACCTGTCCAGCAGTTATCCTTTAGAAGTGCTCTTCAGTCCTCAAACAGGAGGAGGAAAATCAAAGCAGTTTATATTCAAAGGAGTTCAGACCTTAACAACCGTGAAAAACATCCGTTTAACCTCAGAGTCTCATTTAAACCTGAGTTATGTTAGAGACAAGACCGCGCTGCTGGTTTCAGGCTGTATCAGAGCAGATGTGCCCGTGTGTGTGTGCGTGTGTGTGTGTGTGTGTGTGTGTGTGTGTGTGTGTGTGTGTCTTCCCACAGGGCTCTCTGCTCTCGCCGGTATTTCTCTCTGATTTCCATCTTTGCATCATCTGACATTGCGAGCCCCTCTCAGACACTGGGATCAGCCCGGTCCTCTACTTCACAGGCAGCACTGTCAGTGTGTGAACCAGCACACACAAACACACACACACACACACACACACACACACACACACACACACACACACACACACACACACACACACACACTTTCATAAAACACACACACACACACACACACTCACAAAGAGATGTGAAGCCACCTCTGGGCACTGCAAAGTTACCGACCCTTGTGATTTAACACACACAAACACACACACATTTTTTGACCCATTCCTCCGCCCTGCAGCTGAGGTGGAGGAGGATGTAGCTCTGGCCTTTGTGTGCTCCACCCATGGCTGCAGAAATGAGTGTTTGTGTGAGTGTGTGACCATTAAAGATGCCAGGCTGTCTGAGCTTTCAAAGGCTCCATTTTCCACTTTCCACTCTCTCTCTTCTTGCCCTTTAACGTCTCCCTCTGCTGCACTCGGCTGCGGTGTGCCTGTGTGTCTGTGTATGTGTGTCTGCATGTGTGTGTGTGTGTTCACCTGTTTGTGTGCAGCAGCAGTGTTTGAGAGTGAAGCTTCAATTAAAGAAAAGCAGAAACATGAATTTAAGCATAAATTGCGTTTGTTTGGGCTCCTCTGAGTCAGGGCCTGCAGCTTTCTCCTCTTTTGACTGCAGTGGCATTTAAAGATTCATTTATTTTCCTCCTCCTGGCCATGCGGCATGCAGGTAAAACCTCTCAGGTGAAGTGCATTATGAAGTAGGATTGCGTAACATTCATTCCTAAAATCACCGTAACCCTGATGAAATTCAGGGTAAGATAAGTGCAGCGGTGGCTCAGTGGCACTTTCAAAGCGTACACCCCACAGAGATGAAACCAGGAGAGCAGCCCGCCATCAGCTGCTCCACTCTGCTCTGCTCTGCGTGTCCTGATGCAAAAACCAGCCTGCAAACAGGCTCAAACAGCCGCTCAGAGCTTACAGAGAGCCAGGGAAATCTGGATCATCATGAGTAAAGCAGCACAGCCTCAGTGAGGGTTTGATTTCAGACCAACAGGCTCTCATATCGTCTCTGCATATTTGTCTGTATTTATTTTTCAGAGCTGTTCTTGGAGCCTGAAGTGAGCATGTTAAAATGAGAGAAGAGAGAGGCCGGGGTTTGGCAAGCGCTCAGTTATCAAAGCTAAACATTTCATGCCCATAGCTCATTTATTAGCTAGCTAATTAGAGAGTTAGCTTCAGTCCATCACAGAGCGGAGATCACATGTAGAGAGGAAACTGATCAGCGGAAGGTTTTCTATCAGACTGAGGAGATGGGGACATTTTTCAGCACCTTTTTCATTGGGAAGCCACTTTTTTGGCACTATTTTCAGACATGATGCACGCATGTGGCTCCACCTGCTGCATGTGTTTGCTGACAGAAGCATGCTTGCTAGCTTGCATTGAGGTCGGCATTGTGCAGTGCCAACTGGTGAGAGCAGCTTTCCTGTTGTGTAAAGTGTTTGATATGAAATTAGTAATAATGGTACAGTGTTAGATGAGCTAATACCACTTGTATGAAGGTGTAATCTTGTGTACATGTGTTTGTTTTATAACCAGTTTGCTTATTTCTGTTATTTTTTTCTAATTTACACTGTCCCACATCAGGTCGATTATCAATAAGTGTCAAGTTGGAAAAATGATGTATGAATTTTGTTTTCATGAAACTTGAAACCTTTTGTTTATTTTGTTTTTGCACAGTTTAATAAAGCATACAAAGAAACAAAAATAACAAATTATAAGTAGTGCAGAGAGAGGCAGAAAACCCAAAAGGCTTATTTGAAGCCTCCACCTACACTAACATCGAACAATTTAAAATTTATATACGTTATTAAATTTAATATATGTGCATATCAGAAAATAATGATCAAAAGTTATGAGAAACAAATAACTGAAAATATATAACTAAAAAAAGAGAGAAAAAGAAGATATTAAAATAGAACATTTGTGGTTACTACAGAGATAATGACAAAAAAAAAATCAAAGAAATGATTAAAAACAATTACATGCAAATAACATGAAAAAGAAAACTATTTCAAAACACCAGTTAAATGATCCTTTAAACATCTTTTATAACCATTTGTGGAGGAACATTTTTTATATCAGGTGAGAAAAGTCATTTCATAATTTGCTACCTCTGTATCTGATTGAAAATTGGCCTCTGCAAGTAAGAATATTGGAAGAACCTAGTTGGAAGAGTTCCTGAGACACTGTTAAGTATGAAATTATTTTGTATTAACGGGATATAAATTTCACAAACAGGTTGGCTTTGAAAAAAAGTGTAAATACTAAATCAATAATTTATGAACGACACAGCCTACAGCCTGATTCTAATGGGTCTAAGCAGGTTACAGATTAAACAAAGTGCAGATAGTTCTTCATGTAAAAGGTGTTCTTTTAAACTTGTGGCTCACAGGGACAAAACACACTTATTTCATTATAACACAGCACGTGTGCAGACATAGGTAAAGTTGACTAACAGTTGGTCCGGAAATGATGTCATTATCAGAAAAAGGCATTGCTTCCTGTGACGCTCTGGAGGAAAAGACGTCTCACATCTCTTAAAACAAATTGCTTTATCCAATCTGTCCTCTCTTCATTTCTCTGCAACATCTTCATACGTCTCTGGAGGACAGGGCTAAGATGCTAGTGAATGGCGCGAGAGAAGGATGCAAGAGTGAAAGTTGACTTTTCAGTCTACAGTCTGGGTAGGTGCTTGGCTGTACTGGTAGACTTTCTTAACTATTTTGATGTCTATATTTCTGGCCTTCTCCTTCCTAATCCCTGTCTCCTCTCTGTGCCCATGATCACTGGACTCTAAGACCAATAGCTCCTCAGTCTGCCTGCACCTCCTCACCTGTTCTGGAGACATGAATACCTCCTCTTCCTCTGACATCAAACCACCAAAGCCTTATCCAGGAGAAATTGTTTAAACCTCCTGAGTTATCTCTGCTTGTGCTCTGCCCTCAGGTCCCCTCAGGGGTTTCAAATTAAATAAAGTGCGAAATTCACCAGATGGCTAACCAAAAAAATGAGAAAAAAATAATAATAATAATAATTAAAAAAGAGAGCACAGTCTGCAAAATGTTCATAAAAATCATCTCCACCCAGGCATCAATCTTAGGACAAAACATGGCATTGATATTTGCCATGTTTTGTCTAATGTTTGTCATAAATTTTAGCTTTTCCTCTTTTCAGTAAGGAGCTTTGAATTCGATTGATTCAACTCTCCATGACCTGCAGTTTTTGTCTCTGGCTTTGTCGTGTCATTCTGGGATTTTTAAATCATTTTTTTCCAAATTTATTCATTGCTGTAGTTTATACATTCAGGAGACTATGTGTTTGTCTTCATTACCTTGGTATCCAGATGTTTTATCTGTGTCAAAGCTGGTTTATTTTGCAGAGGCAGATTTTCTTACCTGGCTGAAGCTACCTTTCATTGCCATTTTATGCCTCTGTGACCACATTTCCCCTGAAACACAGACTTCAATCTGTGCTTTTCCTGCAGAAACAGAGAAAAAAAGAGATGCTCCCCCAGTCGCTCTCCCTGCTGTCCTCCAGGACACTGTGCCCAATCCCTCTAATGAGCCCTGTGTGTGTTAGTACGAGTGTGTGTGCTGCAGGAAAGGTCACATCTCCCTGGAGGTCTGTGCAGTAATCAGGCTGTTTCCAACAGATAATAAAACAACCGCAGAGTGGAACCAAAAGCTGCACATTGTCAACCTGGAGGGACATTTAGAGGACAGACTGGAACTCCTGGGCCTCACCTTGGTCTGGCAGCATTTAGATCCAGCAGCAGGTCCAGACTTTGGGACGTTTCAATGACTTTTGCTCTAAATTGACTGAGGCTAGTTTCAAAGAGGGTTACACATGTTTTCTGCTTTTCTGGGGAATTCAAAGCTGTATACATGTGGATACACAACAAACAATACACAATTCTAGAGACTACAGTTTTAAGACAAGACTTAAAATATAATATAGTGTTGCTGTGCAATGAAAAACATATATCTCTACTTTTAGCGATCTGGACTTTTTTCAATACACCCTTGGTCCATAATGTTCCTTAACAACCTGTAGCTTTCGGTATCCGAATGATGGATAGAAAAGTCATTTCATAACATTATCTTTTCAACAAGTATCTCCGTTGGGTGTCAGAAGTGTCAACAAAGTACGTATCTCCTGCCCTGGCACTGCATTGTCATGTCAGCAAACAGACTTCACTCTGTGACAGACTCATTACAGTCCAGGGTAATGCTACGCTAATGTCCTCACATCGACTGCAGGCAGACCGAAGTACAAACAGCGGCTTGACAACAGTGTGCCAAAAGGGACAAAATTTCCCCCTTAAGTCAGTTTTTAGACCTTTATTCATCATGATTAATGTTTTCTTGCTGACAGCCCTCTCATGGCTGTTTAACAAAGTGTGGTTTAAGTGAATGGTGAACTCAAGCAATTTAGCGGCATCTGAAACATCTATTAACATGAATGATAATGAAACAAGAACTCATCAGTTAATCAGTTTCTAAGTCAAATACAAAACTGTCTCTGGACTGTAAAGTTCATGTTTTCCTCATTAATCCAGAGCGTGAACCTCCAGTACAAACATACTCTGCTGGTAGTATATGGAGAGTTTTTTTTTTTTCAGGGCAGGGTATAAAATGATGTACTGCTCCTTCAGAGGAGGCTTCATTTCCATTATGACCAGAAATCTGACCTGTGAGAGTCAGATCTGGGAGGAATCCTCTGCAGGTTTGCTGTGAAACACAAAGCCAGGTGTGAGTGTGTCCAGAGAAAAATTACTAAAGTCAGAGGAAGATGCAACTGTATGTCTGGATTGCTTCAGATGAGCTCAGGAGCTGTTAGCTGGAATTGTGGTTTTATGGCGAGTGAAAATCCCCGGGAGAAGTGAATGCAACAAGATTTCAATCATTGCCGCGGGAGCAGCAGGCTGAAGGATGGTGTGTTCACAGACCACAGACAGGGGTGGAGGAATGGGGGGATGGCAGGAGGAGAAGACAAACAATCCTCAGAAATGATTTCAGCCTGATTCTGGTGAGACCTGGATCCTCTCTGCCCCTGTCTTCTTCCAGGAAAACAAAAAACTCTGTTGTCATGGCAACCAGCTGTCTCAGTTTTCTACCACAGTTTTCATACATATTTCTATTGATTTATCTGAGTGGAAAAAAAAAATCACCTGTTGGGTGCCCGCTGAATACAATAATTACTCCGCACCAGCAGGGCAAAGTTTTACACAGTTTAATCTCTATCAGAACAAACAGGATTTTTAAGTTTTAGTTTTTTGTCATAGAAAATTAGCTGATATGTTTCATATCCAGACAGACTCTCAAACCCCACACTCTGTTGACCTTTTTTTTCAAATCAAATCAAATAAAATCAAATTTTATTTATCAGGCATGAAAATCTCTCACCTTTCGGCGAAATTCGCCGTTTTGAAGTAAAAAAGGGTGACCTACGTGAATCGTGTAGATCCGAGGAGAAATTTTTCAAGGGGGGGGGGGGTCGGGGTCGGGAGATTTTTTTTGTTCTTTTATTATCATGTGATTGACTCAATACGTAAACTGAGCGCTTCAGAAATCGGCCCTTTAAATGACACTTGGACGGTCAGCAAATCCTCCTGGCTCCTTCGCTGACGAGAACCAATCATAGGCCAAACTGCGTTCCATTGTTCCGATCATGCGCACACTCTTCACGTGTACTTGGAGTGCTTGGAGAGCCTGTGGTAGCATTGCAAAGCTGCGAGAACGAGAAGCAGGACTTATCCACGCCGGTGTTGTGCCGTAGAATGCACCCCGCTGTAGAATGCCCCCCAGGTGGGAGCGCGGTTGAAAGTACACAACAAGGCGAAATAATCGAAGTTTTGAGCCATCTAAAATAGCGAAAGCGGGCGTCTCGCGTTTACTGCTCTGCAAGGCTCTCAAGTCTCACGCATTCAGCGTGTGACACACACATTCCCACCCGTTCACACGCTCACACGCCACACATTGTATTTCTCACGCATTTATATGAACATGGTGATGTCCACAAAGTTGCACCTCTGTAACAATGGAACAGGTAGAAATCAACTGAGTTCCTCCGAGAGTTCAGAAGCTGCGTGCCACGCGCAAGCCAATCAAATAAAGTATATATACTGAACAGCCAATCAAAAAGCAGCATTGCTGTATCCGGGTAGATTTTGATATCTTGCGGTTTGACTACAGAAGAAGACAGACACTTGCCGAAATAGAGCAGGTTTTTATAAGGACGAGATAGACCCGATGATTACAGTAAGTCAGTAACCTACACATGCAGAAACCTCAACACCTCATAGCAGATAGACTCATATGATAAACTAAAGCCCTATGCTATTGCTATTAACAGCTGTATTGATGAATTTAGCCTCTGTACAGCCATTTCCAGCCATTTTCCCCTCCACAAAAGCAGCATTTCTCATATATTCTTTTTAAAGTTCTGACAGTGTAATGCTCATGTACCAAAGGAATAAGTATCTCCATGTTTCTGAAACCTATACTAAAGTACAATTCATCTAAATGCTCCACAGTGCTGATTTTAGCAACTCTCCTCCACAACAGGTAACTTTAGGACTTTATTCTTATATATTATTGACTTTATTCTCCTAAATAATAACTTTATTGTCTAAGATTTAAAAACGTTTTTTGTCTTAATGTGGCCCTCATACTCCGTTGTATTTAAGAGATTATAATACTATTATACTAATAATTATCTTCAAAGCTGACAAAACTACAGCAGAGGATCAGGACAACATTGAGTTTTTATTAATTTATTTTTTTAAGATTTAGAGATTAAAGTTGTAATCTTAGGAGAATAAAGTCATGAAGTAAATAAAGTCATAAAGCTGCTTTTGTGGAGGGGAAAATGACTGAAGCTGGTCATCTGCAGGGTTATCTGTGGATGTATCTGCGGGTCATTCAGAGAGATTTTGTGGTTTCTGAAGAAACGATCAAACTGATGATCAACATTTGTGATCCAGAGGGAGTCGAGCTCCAACGAGCACCACGTCTCTGACACCAACAGTAACCTACACCTGCAGAGACACCAACGCCTTATTATGGCATATGGATTCGTATCATAAACTAAAGCTCAATGTCATTCACAGATATCTACGCCTGCATAAACGGATATATCCTCAGCATATTCATTTCTGCCTCCACAAAATCAGCGATTTCCTTCAAGTACACCAGTTTTTTGAAAAAAGACATATTTCTCATTAATTCTTTTTTAAATCTTTATACTTATGACAAGTGTGCTGATGTGCCAAAGGATGAAATATTTCCTTGTTTGTGAAACCTATACTGAAGCACAGTTCCTTTATATGCTTCATGGCCCTAATTTTAACAACTCTCCTCTGAAATAACAGGTTACGACTTTATTCTCGTAAATTAATGACTTTATTCACGTAAATTCATGAATTAAATCTCGGAAAAAAATTCTCAGCCTGATGAGGTCGCTCAAATGGGACACACTACCCTTCGGAGGACTTTCTGTTTGAGTCGCCAAATGTCCCCACCCTCAGGCTCGCGTCACGACTGACTTGAAGAAAAGCTGCGGATGCAGCATTTATTTTTTTAATTGTGCGACCTTGCACAGACACAAAACAATAGATACAAGCACAGATCATTCCCACAAAATTCATCAATACTCAGGCGCTGAGACTGAGGGCTGCTGGCTTCTTAAAGGCCTTGATTGCAGATTTAGTGCAGGTGTGGAGTCTCACTCAGCCTCAGCGACTGGGGAGGGGGAGGGTGCTCTGGAAAAGAGTCAAGCCAGACCAGGAAAATGAAGAAAAACACGAAGTCCAACCAAACTGAAACAAAAGGAGGAGGCGTCTCACCACACTCTGGATCTCAAATGTTGATCATCAGTTTGATTGTTTCTTCAGAAACCACAAAAACTTTCTGAATGACCGCTGATGCATCCACCGATAACCCTGCAGTTGACCAACCTCAGTCATTTTCCCCTCCACCAAAGCAGCTTTATGACTTTATTTACTTTATGACTTTATTCTCCTAAGTTTACAACTTTAATCTCTAAATCTTAAAAAAATAAATCAATAAAAACTCAATGATGTCCTGATCCTCTGCTGTAGTTTTGTCAGCTTTCTTATTTCTAATGTTTTTGATTGTTGTAGCAGAGCGGATCAGTTCGTCTCTAAATCTATAATGTTTGGTTTACAGATTTTAGTGAGTTTAGAGATCATGAGCTCAGACAGCCTGAGCTGACTGTCTGCTGTTTTTGGATTTCTTGTATTTTCTTTGAAGACGCGCTGTGTCTCCAAGCGAGTCCAGCCTCTCACCCGAAATGCGCAGCTGTGCAGCGGCACGCAAAGAATTCTTGGATACCAACAGCACGAAAGCGTGCATAAATGCACGCTTGAAAAACGCTACTCGCACTTAGCATTTCGCGCCAAATGGGACACTGTTAGCGCCGCGTGATGACATCATGCACGCTTCAAATGCACTGTTCGACGGTGCGGTCTCTGAAATGAGACAGCCACTGAACATGCGTGTAGAGTGTCTTCCTGGATAAATAGTAATCTTTAAACTGTTTATGGCGTAACGAGTTAGACTTTTGAATGTTATCTATCTTGTTATCTCTGGTGATGCTTCTGCTATTCAGAATAAATAACAAATTTTAAAGAGTTTACAGTCAAAATCAAGTATTTAACACCATCAGACAGTGATAACAAACAGAAATGATCCTGTTGAATTTGTTTAGACCTCAGGCTTCTGTGTTGTGTTGTAAATCCAGTTCATACGCATTAACAGGTTTTACATTTATGGATGTCTGAGGACTCCTGTGTGTTCAGCGTGTGTGTTTGTGTCGGTGTGTGATGCCTTTAGATCTGTGTGGTGTCAGCAGCAGAGTAGTGTAGAAGTGAAGTGTGTGACAGGCTGTCAGGAATGAGTCTATCTGAACTCATCAGATCTGCTCTGAAGTTGTGATCTAACGGGTTTGTTTTAAAATACTTCAATCAGACATTCACCAAACTTCACTGCTCCAAACCACCGCCAAAATACACCATACACACCTAATTTAAACCAGTCAGTGCAGGGACAAAACCAGATGGTTACTAAGGACCAAGTCAATCAATCAATCAAATTTTGTTTATATCACGCCAAATCACAACAGTCATTATCCCAAGACACTTTCCAAAAAAGAGCAGGTCTAGATGACGCTCATTTTTTGATGAATTATCAAGACCAGGGGTGGGCAATCATGTGCCATGGAGGGCCAAGAGGCTGCAGGTTTTCTTTCCAACCCAAAACTCCACCAGGTGATTTCACTGATTAGTCCCTGCTCTCTGCTTGGAGGTAAGGTAATCAGTGAAATCACCTGGTGGAGTTTTGGGTTGGAAAGAAAACCTGCAGCCTCTCGGCCCTCCATGGCACATGATTGTCCACCCCTGATCAAGACCCAACCTTAAGATGGGACAGATTTGACCCATCTCATCTAACATGAGTGACAGTGGCAGTGGCCGCTGCTGGGTTGGACAAAAAGATAGATAGAAGTGGGAGGCAGGGCAGGGGGGAGAGAAAGAAAACAAGGGAGTAGGAAGGGGAGAGAATGAGCAAGGGAGAGGGAGGGAGAAAAAGAGAGAGAGACAGGGGATAGCAGCAACATTGAAAACAACAACAGTTCATACATTGTTCTGGTTGCAGAGCAAGTAATGATGAAACAATATGAGTTCAACACAAGTCATCTTGAGTTGAGTGAAACTAAGGTTGTGTCATATCTACTGATTAGTTTTTTTTTTTTTTTATCCATGTTTTTTGTCTTGTGTTTCCTGTTTTATTTTGATACTCACCCTTTTCTCTTGTTTCAGGTCACTTGACTTCCTCCTCCTTGTGTAACCTACTCCCCTGATTATCCTGATGTGTCTCACCTGTGTCTCGTTAACTCCACTGCCCTGCTGTATATAAACCCAGCCTTCCCTCCCCTCTGTGTTCGTCTTGTCCATTGTGTCAGAGTGCCAGTGTATATCTCTGTTTGCCTCAGTGTTTTGACCTCCTATAGTATTGTTTAGTGATGGTAAAAATAAAGCCTCATGAGGCATTTGGTTCAAGGAATGGTTCATTTCTTGAAGCTTCATGCACACGAAACCACCTACTGTCCAAGTGTATGATCACAGGCAGCTGAATCTGAACCACATAATGTGTGATGTGTTACTTGTATGTACAGGACGGGAAATTTCATTCATTTTTATTTAGGAACAACGGTTTCTCAACAGTTTTTGGTTTTAAACGATTTATTTTTTTTTGACACAATTTCTCCGGCCTTAGAGAAGACCCTCTCAAAAGGCACAGAAGATGCCAGTGTGCACAAAAAGGCAAGTGCAAGTTTGTGTAAATTTGGGTACAGAATTTTTTGCCTCTCCCAGTACTCCAGAGGGTTTTCCAGTCATCCTATGTTTGGCTCGGAAAGGTACCGCTGGACCTCCACAGTGGCATCTGCTGTAACATTTTGACACCTCCTTGCTTCCATGACGCTAGTGTCCAAATGTGCTACCTAAGAGGAAACCACAGATCATGTTAGTAAGTGTTCTTATAGGAATAAATGATGTCAAAATGTAAACTAACAGATTACCTCCAGTGACATCATGAGAGGTAGAAGCCTAGGGGATTTCATCTCTGCTTTGTTGTGCCCTTACAATGGCAGCACACTCTGATGTCAGTCGCTTTACTGCTTCACTGGCTTTGGTTTGACTGAAAAATCCAATCACCTTAAATCTGGGGTCCAGGAGTGTAGCAAGGGACATGATGCTCATTGACTGCAAAGTATAAAGCTTCTCCCGTAGCAGCCTGATGAGATGGTCTCCCATTTCCAATGCCACTGCAGGTGCTGGCTTTGCCATTTACTCCTGAAGGTTTTGCTCCAGCATTTTCATAAGGGGCACAACTTTGGAGGCAGACACAGTTTCTTCCGCCGACAGCTCTACAGTGGCATCATAAAAGGGAGACAGCAACGAAAGGCACCCTCCAACAATGTTAAACTCATAAGATGTGATCATCTGCATGTCATGTTGAAGCCCAGCTAACGCTGCTCCAACTGGCTCCCTCAACTCCTCCAAACGTTGCAGCATCAAATATGTGCTATTCCACCGGGTTTCCACTTCTTGTTTTCGCTTCATTGTTGCCATCCCCAGCTGAACCTGCACCTGTGTAAGCTTCTCCTTTAAAGACACAGATGAGTAGGCCATTAAATAGCTGCAGAAAGAACACAAACTATTAATGTTTTAATAAATTGGAATAAAGGGAATGACCATACCTTAGCAGTGGTGCTGCTTCTAAAGAAGCTAACTAGCTTCCTTGCTTTAGCCCGGATGCCAGAAAGCACAGGGCTCTGTTCAAGTGCCTTCTTCACTATCAGATTGAGGGTATGTGCAATGCAAATATGGTGCCGAAGCTTCAGCTCTCTCCCACACGCAACCATATTGGGAGCACCGTCAGTAACCATACAGGTTACCTTATTGGTAATTCCCCATTCCTCCATCAGGGAGGCTTTCACACGAGCAATGTTTTCAGCAGTGTGTGATTGGGGGAATACCTGCACTCCCAACAGCACTGAGCTGAGCCTGTTTTTTTCATCCACAAAATGGCATGTTACAGCCAGGTAGGCATCCATGTTGATGGATGTCCACATGTCAGAGGTTAGGCTAATGGCAGCCACCTTTTCAACTTTAGCCTTAGCCTTCTCCTTTGCTGCCTCATACTTGGCCTCCACCATGGCCTTCAGAGCCTAATGGAAAGTATATAAAATACTTAATCTGTTTGAATTGTGAGACATACAATTAAGTACTCATTTGTTTCATGCATGCACCTATACATACCTGCCTGGTAGGGATAACATAATTAGGATCCAATTTGGACACGAATGCCCTAAATCCAACATCTTCCACAATGCTGAAGGGCTGTGTGTCCTTCACTATCATGGAGACAAGGGCATCATCTAGCTCCTGTTTTCTGGTGGCTGGTTAAGAGAAAATAAATGCAGTGTTACTTTTCTTTATTTGCACAGTAAACAAAAGTAAACATGGAAAAATTGTGATAGTGTTTTTGTAATATTGTTATGACTTACCTTGGCTAGATGAAGCTCCAGTTCCCTCCTTATTCTCATGCAAGGCACGGTAATGCCTTAGCATGGATGAGGTGTTGTTATTGTACCCCAACTCCTAAGAACACAATAAACACCTCAACTTTGAATAAAATAAGAAACCATGAAAAATATTTCTTGATAAGCAAAAATGATGCGTCTGTAATAATGTTGTATTTAGCATACCTTGTTATGAGTTATCAAATCAAAGTGTTCCCACACAGGGGAAATCCTCCTCTTCCTCGCTGGCTCCATCCTATCACCTCTCCTACTCTCCTAAATCTCTCTCTCCCTAAACTCTCCAAACTATCTAAACTATCTGCAAACTATCCAAACGCTATCCAAACTGTAGTATCCAAACTCTCCAAACTCTCAACTGACCGCAACTCTCCTTCAACAACCCACATTTTGAATGAAGCCTGAGGGGTCTATATAGCTGTAAAGGGGTGTTCATACCAAACGTGACCAGGTCGCGTTGGTCGGTAACGTCGCGTCGCGTGGCACCTTGGTGTGTTCACAACGGGTCCAAAGCTGCGGTCGCGGCTGGTCGCCGCTGACCCGCTTCTCCCACCTTCCTTCTCCCTCCTTTTCTCCCTCATATATACATCCCGCAGCCCCTTCCAGCGCTTGCGGCACACACACACAAACACACACACACACACACACACGTTGAAACATGTAGCCTAGCAAGCAGGGGAAGTTTGCTATGTTTTCAGAAAATAATCTGCTCACTGAAATAAATAAACAATCGACCAGAAAGCCCGAAATCATGGGCCACCTTCGCCCATGCTTCTTCCTTGGAGGTGCGGTCCCGGTAGAGCCCGCACCCCAGGTCGTATAGCACTGGGTGGTAGCTAACGGCTGTGATTAGCTGCTCCTCCATTGTATGAATCTTCTTCTCCTCCTTGCTTCGCCGGTTTGTTGATGTCAGCAGAGCCCTGATTGGCTGTCGCGGATAGTCGCTCCCAAAGTTCAAATATTTGAACTTTGGGAGCGACGCGACTTGGCGTCCTGCGACCTCGGCAACGCGACCTCGGCGACCATGCGCGACCTGGTCACCAAGTCGAGTCAGGTCGCGTCGCAGGCAGCCGGCGGTCGCCAAGTCGCGTCAGGTCGCGGCTGTCCATAGACTTTGCATTGGGAGCCGTTGCAGACGTCGCGTTTGGTCTGAACACCCCTTAAAACATCCTGGCAAAATCCGAACCACTTCCCGAAGCAATCACATGGTACAGCCAGGCAGCGAGGCTTCGGATGTCATCATTTTTGGCTCAACCCCTAGATGAAGCAAGCCTCGATACGTGCCTCGCGGAAATGCCCCCTGCATTACTCAACACACGCTCCGAAGCCTCGGCACATCTCATAACATTACTAGTATTGTTTGACCTAGCCAATTTGGATACCTCTGCCTTACTCTTTTGGATCCTGTGTACCGACTAATTTTGGAATAAACAGAATTTGATTGTTTTTGCCTGTAAGTCTGCATCTGGGTCTTCTTTGGTTCAGCATTACAGGTTGAATATTAGTCTGTAAAAGGGGTCAGACTTTCCTGATAACATGACTGATGACAATCTGGATGGTGGTTAAGAATGGGTGTATGATGACTATTGAATCATATGTAAATAATTGTAAAAGTGACTACCTATGGTGAAGCAGTGTGCATTAAACTCTAATGTCAACAGCACTTCCTGGATGATATTTATTGTTCATTATTTCATATTTAGACAGAGTTGAGTCAGTAACACACCTCCACCCTCAGTGGCCCAGAGGCAGAATAAAGTCACAGATGTTGTTGTTCAACCTCTTTAACCTGAACCTTTTTACAGCCCTGCAGTCCGAGCTCAAACCGTGCACTAACAGGTCACCCGCTCAGGCCTACTCCACAGTCTGTCTCTCTCTGCTGCCCACAATGATCTGATGATGAATGTGAAGGAAGGAGTAAATGTGGAGCAGGTGCTGCTCAAAGTCAAAGCAGAGCTCAGTCATGGTTTCCTGCTTAAGTAAATGTTGGAAATGAATTGATTTTAATATATTTTCTGCTCTTTAGCCTCAATAAGTGGAGCTCAGGTGTACTTTGGAGGAAATCAGACAGTGATCAGGTTCAAAGAGTGAAGAGCAGATGGCCTGAGGCGTTTTCTGAGCTCCTTCAGAAAGACTCCATCTTTTTATTCCATATTAATGTCTCTGCAGCAGTGTTAGGACCACGCTAATGATTAATGAATACATCTTATTTTTAATCGTGTTTTACAACCTCACATACATGGAAACACATTTTTAACCTGTAAGAACTGTAGAAATTTAAAACAGGATAAATCTTAATTACAAAAACATTCCCAAAAGAAACACTGCGAAGAAAGTCGTGGGTTTTTATTTGTTGTCTTCATGCTCATATGGTATTTTTCTGATGCTACAGGACATATGAGGAAAAAAGAACAAAATTGAATTTCTGAGTAATCCTGCAAATTTCTGTGAACCTCTGGCAGACTTAAATGGCAGATTCAGAAACAGTGGCCCTCATTTATCAATCTTGCGCAGATCTGAGTGCAGGATTGATCGTAGGATAGGACACACGTGAGATTTATGAAAGGGTTCGTATCTGACCAATCCCAGTGTATGTATGATGGGGTCTTGATAAATGCGGCGACTGAAATCGATCGGCATTAACATGTTTACGCCCTTAAATATTCGTGGTTCAGAAGCCCCGCCCACTGACGTCAAACATGAAAGAGGAGAATTATTACAAAGATTCAAAACTTTTCCAAGCTGAAAGTGGATATCCTCACATCTGTGGTGGAAGTTTTCTGCCGTACGCAAGCTTGATAAATTAGGGCCAGTGGGATTTTCTATGTCACAAACCTATGCTTCGCCCGCCGCGCCCCACTCTGCAGGCTAGACCCAGAGGAGTAAAGAGGACAATGGTGAAACAAGTGTACATGTAGCAGATTGCTCATAGGCATGATACTAACTTTCATCATGTTCCCAAAGACATTAGTGTCCAAGAGCTGAATAACTCCTATGTTACCTGCTACTTCTACTACACCGGCAATGTTAGGCTACAAGCTAGCGTTAAGAGGAGTGTGCAGATCAGCGCTGTCTCCACCCAGGACTCAGAGGTGAATTGCTAATGAGCTACTGGAGCTCTGCAGAGGAAAAGCCCTTGAAAATGACACAGGTAACATGATTTTGGCTAAAAACTTCATAATCACAACTAACGGACACCTGAGAACACTTTAAACGCTAAAAATAACAATCGGAGTGGGACTTTAAGTCATTATTATAAAATAAATGTAAGATATTAGTGTATGGTATGAAGCCAAAATGATGAGATGGAATAAAAAAAAATTTGAATAACGAGAAGTGCAAACTTAGGAGAAAAAGTAAGTAAGAAAGAAGAAAAGGAAAGGTCCTCAGAAGACTCTGAAACCTCTGTGCTCTGTTCTGTACTTGGGGGTTTTTGCTTCTGATCTCCCCGCCTCCAGTTTGTTTGTTACATTTAAGTTTGGGTTTCACAACGGTTTCAGTTTTCTGTGAAGACTGGATGAAGAAGAAGACAAATGATCCAGTTTCAGTGATATCAAGTATTTGCCTGTGTGAACACTCCTCTGTAAGGCTAAACTCATAAACCTGGTGTGAATTTCATCTCTGACGTCTGTAATGTGTGTTTCCTGAGCAGCTCCCCTGCAGGCTATCAGCCTCCTACATCATACAGCATGCAAAACAGGAACGTATCATCTGTACCGGAGATCTTCTTCAACCAGCGAGGAGAGAAGAAACACTCAGAGATGGACTCGGGCTACAGCGATGAGAGAGAAAACGCTCTGATCTCAACGCCGAATCCAAATCAGGGAGCGCTGAAAGATTTTCCACATCAGCTTTGAAATACTTTGGAGAAGAAGTGAGCTCAAACTTTCTGAAGCCACAGTGAGAGACGCTGACTCCTGGAGGCGAGCGTTTCACCACTGTCAGGAGGAGACTCATATCTCTGAGCCTGGTTAGAGCTGGAGGCTCAATTCTTTAAGAATCCATCCAATGAGATGTCTTCATAATCTGTTTGCAGTGAAAAATAGTCTGAGCTCTGTTTAAACTCAGTCATTACCTGATACATATATATTTTTTTATCAGCTACAGTGTTTGTGAAAGGTTTCTGCCAGACATGAAGAAAGTCAATTTCTCAAAACAAACTATAACATTTAACTTTAACTAAAGATGGAGGTCAAACATCATCTGAGAGGCAGGGAGCTTTGAGGCACAGGTGATTCACCTGGGACTTTTCGTTTTC